TATCTTTAAAATACATTCCACTAAAAACATAAATTACCTTGTTCTGACAACACTTGAATTTTTTCTTTTTATGAATTTATATACAGTTAAGTTCCTTTATTTCAGTTTGCTTTCAAGTTTTAGGATTCACTTTTTTTTCTCTTTTTGATTTAGTTTTATTTTTTAATCTGTAAAGTGAGCTTTCAAAATTAAACCTGTGTAACAAGGTCATCAGAAAAGTTTTTCTTCTGTTCCCTCTCCTCCTCCTAATTTCCTCCCTATCTCTATGGATAGCTATTTTTTAATAATTAAGGTTTGTTTTATCTCTGCAGTGTTTCCTTTTGCAAATATATACATTCATATGTCCTCATCTGCTTCACATCCAAGTTAGCATACTGTATATTCCTCACAACACACCATATCGGTGTTTTAGAGATCTTCATGGGTTTTTTTTTGAAGGTTATATAGACATTCACTGTTAAGATGTACCATGGTTTATTCACCCAGCAACTTACTGATGGAGTTTTGTTTTCTTTGTGTTTTCTAAAAAACAAAAATCCTGTGTCCATGTCATTTCATATTTTGGCCAATGTGTCTTTGGGATCTATTTCTAGAAATAGGATTGTTGGGTCAAAGGGCAAATGTAATTGTACTTCGGCACTTTTTCTAGCTATTTCAGATTCCCTTCTATAGGACTTGTGTCATTTTGCAATGAGAGGGAGTTTTTAAAAAAATATTTTATGAATGCTGAAATTCAGTATGCAACATTGTTGGAAAATTAGTGTGTTCTTCAAAATTCCAAATTATTTATTGAGCCTGGACACTGTTTCTCTGCTATTGTCCAGCACACACCCTGGTACAGAGTGCTCTGGTTCCTGCTTTTAGGGAGCTTACAGTTTGTCCATGAACGTGGTATGTGAATGAAAAGCAAAGGCAGAGTAGTCCAAGAAGGAATATATTATGAAAACAAAGGCAAAAGCCCAGCTCAAGCCTCTCTTTTTCGGAATCCTTCCCTGCTAACCCCAGGCCCCTCGATGAGTCCTCGATCCTTTGAATTCCGTTAGCTCTTTTACTGACATAGACCCTTTTCCTAGAACAAACTCTTGACATCTGGTTGAACAGCTATGTACTACCAGGAATAACAGAGCTGAATGTTTGAAATGCCGGCTTCCTGGTGAGTTTAAGCCGAATAATTATTATGTGGAGTTGTACCTGCATTTCCCAAAACATGTTCCTTCCCAGGAGCATCTATGGGTTGTTAATAAGGGTCACACAGCAAAATCGGTGTGGAAATGGTAAATTAAACAAACCTAATGAGACGTCACTCACAAAATCATGCCTGATGTCCCAAAGTTACCTGGCCATGGAGCCTCCCTTTCTGTGGAGCATCTTGTGTTAATACTGTTTCATGAAACACCAATGTGTAGGTTCTATTTAAATGAAAACTAAAGGTATCTTTTCCAGTGGATTAACTTGGTAATGGTACAGTTCTGTATTTTTGATCAACAAATTTCCATTTGTTTCTTTCTAGATTGAATCATTAAAGAAAAAGGTGCAACAAAAACAGCTCTTAATCTTGCAGCTTTTAGAAAAGATCTCTTTCTTGGAAGGAGAGGTAAGAAGCTATGTTTCTTTAAGTTGGTGTCTTCCCTGCCATTAAATTTAATGTTGCTGAGCCTACTGCCGACACTTAATTAAAAATATGGCTCTTTCCTGGCCTTATAAAATTGATTGAAGGTTAACTGCCAACACTGAAAATGAGGTTCTGACAGCTAGTTTTTCTTTACCACCGGACTCTCCTCATTCCAGCTTGCTGCTCACTTCTGCTTTTTTGGCTCTCATTTTTCCTGTTCAAGAATTTCCTTAGCAAGTCTGATAAGCTATTGATTAACACTGATAATTTCCCACATTTGTGTAGTGCTTTATAATTTATGAAGTATTTTTACAGACATTCCTCACATAGTTCTCTCAGCAACTTTAAGCAAGGCAAGGCAAGGATTATTACCCTGTGTGTTAACATTTTTTTTTTAAAAGCGACAGAGAAGACTGGTAGCTTTGCTCAAGATCACCCAGTTCAGTAAATGCCAGAGCCAGGCTGGGAGACAGACTCCTAATCCCACACTCTTCTGTGGCATTGAGTCAACATGTTTTAGAGGTGACTTAATTTCACCCAAAACCTTTAAGATATTTAGTATTCCTGACTTTGTGGCTTCCCGAAAGCCATTTTGGGATTTTGTGTAGGTTCCAGAGAAGGAAATTATGGAGTTGGAAAAACCTTAAAAGCTTAGGTATTAATAGAAGGAGAAGCCAAAATCTATGTGCTCTGAAGGCTCTTTATTAAGAACTTGGCATTTAGCCTCTTCCTTTTGAGCATCCATGAATCTCTCCTTGTCTGTGCCCCTCAACAGGGCCCTTCCCCAGTGGGAGACAGCCCGGGAGAGGACCGATGAAGTAAGGGAACAGGAAGGGAATGACATTGATTCAGCACCTGGTATACGCAAGGCGCCGTTAATTACTTTCCTTGTCCTTTGAATAGCATGGAGGTTGAGAGTGGAATCAGACTTGCCCAAGTTTGAACCCTAGATCTGCTTCTTAGCTGTGTGGCCTTGGGGAAGTTTCTTCTAATCAGAAAATGAGGATGATAACTGTACCTGCCTGTGTGTGGCCATGCAACAAGAATGCATAGACACTGCATGTCCTATACTCTTGACAATCTGAGTTATCATTGTTGTTCTGTCTTTATTAAGAGGGACACCCTTTGAGTTAGATTAGATTTCTCCCACTTTATAGATGGGGAAACTGAGATTCAGGGACATTAAGGAACCTGCCCAAGGTGACAATAGAAATGGTACACCTGAATTCAAAGCCTGAGCTCTTAACCACGGTTATGGGGGTGGTGAGCTGAGTCTTCATTTACTATTTTTGAAGGGCTGCCTAGAAAAGTCATAAACAGAAGTCCCTCATGACCATGAGGGCCTGCCTGCAGATTCAGGGCCCACGAGTCTCAGCGTCTTGACAGCTGAATAAATGCATGCTTGTCCTGTCCCATCCTATCTTCCCCTCCATATTCACTGGGTGCAGCTTCGCCTAATGAATGGGCGTTTCTGTTTTTAAGATTGCCCTCCAAGTCCTATGGGAGGAAGCAGCATCCTCAGTGAGAGTCAGAGAGAGAGTGTCCTGGGGGATGCCCATGGATCCAGAGAGCCGGGTTCCTGGAGAGAGAAAAGAGATGCCGACAAGGGAGGCAGAAGGACGCCCACCCTGTCCCTGGCTGTGCTCCTCCAGCCAGCTCTCCTCCTACTGGATTATGAAATGTCCAAGGAGATAATGTGCATGAAGAGTCTTACACATGTGTGTGCTTTGTTTAATGCTCAGTTTCTCTTCCCCTAGTTTGGGTTGCCCAGATCCTGAGATGTGGATATGGGTCCACCTAGTTTATTTGAGAGGTGATCTCAGGAAGCCCCAGTAGGGGAGGGGGAAATGAATTGAGGAAGATGAAAGCCAATAATAGGTGCCTTATTGAGGAGGTCACCACTGTGAGCAGCTGCGGCTCTCTCCCTGGGGTCTCCAGGTGATAGTGTGCGCTGAGTTATCCTTACCAAAAGATCAGAAAGCTGGGGCAGTCATCCATGGGCTCCCATCAGTCATTGGCTGAGGCCTGCTTGGGGTTGAGGCAGGTCTAGCCTGCCCCTGGGCAGGGCCAACCGGACTCTAGGAGTCAGAGGAAGCCCCAAGGCAGAGTCACAAGTGGCATGTCTGGAAATGGTGCGTGCCCACAGGATATGGGTGGGATCATCAGTGTCTGCTGAGTATATCCAATGAGCAAGATTCTGAAGACCAGTTTTCCTTAAGGATTTAAACCATAGATTATATATTTGATTGATCAAATTCCCTTAAATTATTGAAATTCCACTACAAATTTAGTATGGCTCATTACTTCTGATCACTTCATACATCTGCCTTAAAGAGCAGATAAAATGTATGCAAAATAAGTTACATAATGACAAAATTTAATAATATATTAACACTTTAACTTATTCTAAAATGTCAAATATCTTGGATTTAATTTATTTCTTCATTGTTTCTGTTCTTGGTTTTGTTTTTTTTTAATCTTTCCAAGCCTAATGTATTACTTATTTCAATGTTTTCTTAGAATTAACATCACTTTGACACTTTGCTGACAGGTTCAGTGATCTCTCAGGTCCCGAGGGGATAGAATACCTTTCCTTAATAGCCATAATTAGTGGATGCTAATTCTTGAGTGGACCATCAGAACCAGGTGTCTTCAAGGTGATTCAGACTCATGACCCCTTATCATTGTGATGCACTGACCTGCCTTTTGGCATTTTAAAAACTTACGTCTTTCTTGTTAATATTTTATCATACTTCAGTGGGCCATGTAGGGATTTCACCTAGGAGGTGAGAGATTGAGTTTGAGTACTTGGTTTTCCTCCTCAAGCTGTGTTATTAGTTTATCATGTTATCAGAGTCCCCCTTTCCACCAGGTTGTTGTAAGACAGCCAATGCCAAGCAGGTCTCCCATCAGCCTGGGACCACCTGACTGACAATTCCATTTGTTATTCTTTCTTACTTAACACAGAAATTTTATAACCAAATAAGTAATTAATATTCTAGAAAAGAAATGACATCTCTTTATATATTAATGCTTCCTCATTTAAAAAACCAGTACAAATTGTAGCAACTGTGGCCACCCTTCTTTTCTATTAAAACTATCTTTCTGTGTGCTTATCCCTTTTGAATGATGTGAACACAAGGCATTTCCTAGACTCACTTTGTTTTCATAATACCTATTTCCTTCTCCTCCTCTTTTGATGCTCAGATTGTCACAACTTAGCCGGGGAGTGTGCTCCTACATTAACTGCTTTGTCCATGTGGCAGGCTTCCCAGTGCTTTTGGAGCCATTCTTGCTGTATGGCAACAAGGTGCTTCGGACCTACACTTGGTTTTGTTCTGTCCCACGACACGACCCTGGCTTGTCTCCGAGGAGTCCTGGTTCATTTAGTGGAAACTATAAAAGGAGTGTGTACTGGAGGCCATCTGGGCACAAGAATCACTGGTGGGCGAAAGCGCTCTGCCTGCTGCTGAGCTGGTTTCCATAGTGACATCTCAGGGGGAAATACTGTTTCTGTTTAAATAGTATGAGTTTGCACTCATGTTTTCCAAATTTATTTAATTGTATTGCTCTGCAATACAGGGTTCTGCTGGCCACTAAGAATATCATTATGCTGATCTGTTCTAACACTGGTAATTTTTACATCATGACTTTCCATCCTGTGCCATAAACCATAATGATGTGAGTGGTGGTGATTCAAATATCTTTGAAATGTTTTGGTGGACAGATCTGGTAATCTTCTATATCCTATCTTAATAAAGTAGATACCTTTTGTTAAGGGCTAATTACAGACCTTGGACCTAGGCTGCCTGAGTTCAGATCTCAGATATGTCTCTTACTAATTATGTGATCCTGAGCAAGTTACTTAACTGCTCTGTGCCTTAGTTTGCTCATCTGTAAATGGGAGTCCTCTCTTTAAAATGGTGCGCCATAGAGTTGTTACAAGGATTAAATCAGGTAATACTAAGTGATTGGAAAAGTACATGGCTCATAGTAAATGCCATATGTGTTTACTCTTTCTGCAACTGTCAAGGTCCCAGGGACTCTCTTCATTGTCACTGACACATACTTCTTCCTCCTCCTCCCCCACCCTCATCTCCTACTCCTTCTCCTTTTAAATAGAGAATGTGGGTTATTTTGGTCCCCGAATTCATCACTTGTGCTTACCGATGCTTAGACTCATTAGATTTTGCAACCTTCACCCTCGCCAGATCCCTGAGAGTTTGCTCTGGACTGGCCCCCTCAGACTGCATTTTCCTTCACCAATTCAGAATCTTCCTGATATAACACATGTCCTTCTTTCTTTGTTCTTTTTTGCCAAACAATGTTTTATTTGCTCACTCTTGAAGAAGAAATACCCCAGCCCCTATTTTTGATATAGAAAATGTTATTAAAATCATATTACAAGCACACATCTTCATTAGGTTGCTAAGCTTTCAGAAATTTTGAACAGGTGCCATTCCATTTTTCTTTGCTGAAAATCCTAGACTTACAAATGAATTCAAAAGCCAGAGGAAAGGCATCCATGTCTTGGTTCTGTCCATCATGCATCTAATGCGTGTTGTGTGGCACATAAACCTCTCAGCATGTCTGTTGTACGTTCCTGGGACTACTGAAAATCTCACTGTGTAATTACTGGGGCAGCAGTACCAGGCACCAGGGCTCCCTCCACATGCACATTTGTTGGACATTTGTTCTTGTTCAGCACGTGTGCTGCAGCTCCGGCTGCTTCCTTTCCTGGGCCTGAGGGAATTGGGGGAGGAGGTGGCTGCCATACACTTGTGACATAATTTCCCCCCAAAATGCGAAAAGGTGCCTGTCTCCCCGGAAGACACACAGCCTCTCAAGCCACTGGGGGGTATATGCATTTCACATCTAAACACAAGGTGGTGGTGTTTGAAAGCCGGAGAATGCTGGAATTTGATTCTCCATGCCAGAAGCAATCCGAAAGGTAGTCTGAGGCTGCTCTTTGTCGGCCCACT